GGCGGCGGCGCGCGGGGCGGAGGGCGTCCTCGCTCGGCCTCGCTCACTCGCTCCGAGCCATCATGGACTCTGTGTGCTCCTTCGCTGAAGATTTCACACCCAAATTGGCTTCCCAATATCCCAATCTGCAGCTATACAACAAAAGATTTCTCTTTACCAAGACAGTAGTAATACGTCCCAGGGCAAACCGGATGTGAAATAGGCGGTGACTTCATGCCAGAGAGATTTTATTTTAGAAAGGAAGGTGGTACCAGCCTCTGGATGTGGAGACCAATCCGCCCATTTATTATATGCAGCACAATTTAACTTGCACCGCTCTGGCCCTAATCTCCTCTCTCTCTGCAGACTCAAATCCTTCCACAATCTGCTGCAAGCATTGCTTTTCTGGGGGGGCTGGGGGTGGGGGGAGGGCGAGTGGGGTTAGAGACACTTAAAATCTTTTCATACTTGCAGTGTGTGAACACCCTGTTTTAAAGCGTGCCCGTTAGAAATACAACTGGTGGGTGTAACTATCCCACCGTTGACCAAATCGTTAACCCCTGCACATATCTGAATGAACACAGGCTGTGCAAGCGGAGCTGCAGGGTCACACGTGTGGCGAGCGCGCGCTCGTCCTCTCCTCTCTCCGCGCTCACACTCCCACACGTCTGTCTCAGCCCCTGTGTCTTGCAGAGTCACGAATGCTGAACGACGGCAGGGAAGGATTCTGGCTGGTAAGGAACTGGTCCCTGGGCTTAGAGTCCTTCGCACTTTGTCAGGTTGCGAGCGCTTTCCACCCAGCGTTAATCTGTAGCTCAGAGGACGAGAAGAGCACGCTCCGGAACCGGGTTTTTATCTTTGGAGACAACTGTGTCAGTTATCACGAAGAAAACACAGGAGCCTTAACTCAGAATTGCGCGAGTTCCTAGCGAGAAATACTGAACTTTAAATAAACCATGCCCATCATTTCTAGACATGCGAAACATATCTCCATTTCCGGAATCATTCCTTGCCTTAAACTCCATCATTTCTGGGATTGGGAAAATGAGAGAGGAGAACGAAGAATTTTAGCGGCAGAACAAAGCCCGTCTCCACTTTTTCCACCCCTGTCTGGCCTCTTCTACTCCCCTCCCAGATGGCTCTCCACCCAGGAATAGTTATACAGTCAGGGAAGAGGTGTGTATTCGTACATCAGCTTTACTAAATTTTCAAGCAATCGGAGCCGACTGTGGTTCTCTCCTCGGATTTTGTGAGTTGGGAGTGGATGGGTGCTCTCTTCTGAGATCGCTACTTTCAGCCCGAGATCGCTGGGAGCTGTCCTTTCAGCACTGTGCTTCCGACTCGGTAGGAGGTGCTGAAAAATGGAAAGTCCCCTTCTGATAACTTGTGGTGGAGAAGGCTTGGCAAGCTCACTGGTCATTCTCCCAAGTAGACTTCTGCCAGAGAAGATGTTTGGGCTTGGGACTGAGTGTGGCTGAGAGAAAAGAAAACCTAAAGAGCCAGTCCACATCACTTCTGGGTTTTTGATTCTACAAGTGTTCTTTGGCCTTGTGCTGAAATGAAGCAGCTCTCACGGTTAAATTTTAAGTCAGACGCCTGCAAATACACAGAATACAAAACTGAAGGCTGCTTTTCAAAGTTGAGTTTAGTTACCTACCGTGTTTTACAGGCATAACAAGTGGATGACTGGAGATTTTGGAAGGGAGATGTGAGGATCATCTTAGGATGTTCTTGGTCTAGGTAGGAGCTAGTTGCCAATAAATGACAGAATAAGTGATAGTGTATTCCTAAAGACATGCATTGAAAGAACTTTGCAACTTCCCTGTATGGCATTACTCAGTTTTTGTTTACTTATCCATTAATCATTTCACTTTTTATTGGACAGTTTTGAGAAGAAACCTGACTGTAATAAGGTTTTGAAACCCCAAGTTAACAATTAAAAAACACTATTTAATTATCTCCCCACATATAACACAATTCCAGTTGTGGCTACATTGCTGCAGATCCTTTTACCTTCCCCTACAAAATGAGTAAAACTTGATGTCATGTATCTAGCCTCCCACAACCAAATTGCTTCACTGATTATGACGCTACAAACACAGTCCCTGAAACTTCATCAGAAAACAATCGACTCTGAAAGCAAAGGCAGTCACTTCCGACTTCAGACTGAAAATGTTACGTGGCTATGCAACAGGGTACAATTGGACAGTACTTTTATACCTTTAAAAATAAATATTTATGGATAATCTGGGGGCTGTAGTATTTACATGAAATGCAAATGCCTTTAAAACAATATTTATAGGTAAGATTTCTTAAATAATTCTTCCTGGATGTGATATTGGAGATCATATATGTATATGTTCTATTTACATATGTATAAAAATTTTGTTTCAGGCATCATGTTATAATAAATAAAATACAGTTGTTTAAAGCACTGATAATTAGACTACTCCAAAAACCATAATTACTACTGCAGACTATGAAGGTTTTATTATTTTCCATCTGAGATATCATCAACATATGCACATATTACCAGAGAATTAAATATAAGAGATTAATGACAAGGGAATTATTTGCTTTATATTGTTATATTGAATTTTCTAGATAATTTGTTGACATTGTTCTTATTTTTCTTTTACTGAAGATAAATTCTTTCAAGTGTTTGTGCATTTGTTGAAATGTTATTAAATAATAATAGCCAGGAGGTTTAATATTCTTGAAGTGCTTACTTAGGTCAAGTGATATCCTCACTATTCTGCATAACTCATTTAATTTAATTAGTAAAACAAGTCTATGTGTGAATCAGTCTTAATAACTCCATTTTACAAATAATTCAATAAATTATGCATTAGGGAGATCAGAAGACTTGCCCATGGTAACACAGCCAGCAAACATTCAAAGTACCATGCTAATCCAAATCTTCTAACTTCAAAGATTTTTTTTTTAACCACACTTTCACATTCCTGGGTTTCTTTACTAGGAGTTTCTAAGCTCATATTTTAGTCTTTTTTTCACTGTATATCTAAGTTTTATCATTTTTAAATCAGTCACCTAAGAGGTAGCTCTAGATATTTCTTTTATTATTTACTAATGGTAACAGACTTTCTTTTGATGATCGTGTGAATGCAATTGCCATCATCACAGGTTTAGCTTAGTTTTTCCAAGGTTTCTGCTGTTTTCCTTCTGTCTCGTGAAGTCTGCAGCCAAGATCTTTCTGAAAGTTGCTAGGTTTTGGCAGAAAGGATTTGAGGTCAAACCTAGGACCAGTGATCAGGGGGAGGTTTAGCAGCTCTATCTCCAGTGTTCCAGTCTGGTACATTTTGCCTTTTCTGACAATTTTAAATGGCAGGAAGCCCTGACCTAATTGAAGAAGTAGTGCAGATTCTATTCAATAGAAAAATGTTTTTACTTTTTCCAACTTAATGGGAACCAAATGCAGAAGAACTAGTGAGAGTGTTTCCATTTACTCAGTGTGCAATTTTATCATTTACAAAAAAATTTCAGAGGGAGAAAAAAATAAGTAAAAGTAACAAAATATCAAATAAGTTTCAACTGAAACCTAAAATAAAGTGATCTTTTAATAATATTGGCACTGAATCAGAAGTGGTGGCACACCCCTGTAACCCCAGCACTCAGGAGCATGAGGTAGGAGGATCAACACAAGTGCAAGGCCAGTTTGAGCTACACAGTGAGTTCAAGACCAGCCTAAATTATACAGTGAGACTCTGTTTCTCTTTCTCTTTCTCTCTCTCTCTCTCTCTCTCTCTCTCTCTGTCTCTCTGTCTCTGTCTCTGTGTCTCTCTCTGTGTCTCTCTCTCTGTCTCTATATATATACATACATATATACACACACATTGTCATAGCTCAGAAATGCACACTAAAATTGTATCTCAACATTGACATCACGTGAAATGTAGTTACCAATGTGTAACAGTAAATCTAAAGATAGTAGCTAAAATCCTACATATATTTATATATAAATTGTATATTGAAATGAAATATTTTACTATACTCACTAAATCCCACTTTTAAAATTTTACTATACTCAGTGTATCCCACTTTTAAAATTTGCCTGTCTATAATACAGATGATCCAAAGTGTTAGTCCTTCTTTTAAAATTGATACTGAAATAACAGCTCAGTTGGAAAAAGTATGAATTAATGAATAGAATTTTTAAATAACTTAATGTACACAATTCTGTCATTTGGGTTACTCAGATAAATTATTTTTCTAAGTCTGAAAGCTGGCTTGGCATTTCCATATACCGAGAGGAATGGCAAATGTTACACACAAACAAAATTTTAAAAGCACAATTT